GTGGCAGGTTAAATGGATAGCGAGGTTAATCTCACTGGTGACTCATTGTATAAATATAGATATTGTACATGTATACACAGTCGAACTACAATCGTTCTCGAAAGATCAGTGGATCCTAAAAATTGCAGCACTTTTATGGTTTCCGGCAATTCAAAAAACTGCAGTGGAGTGGGGGTTGGAATCTCTTAAATCCGCGAATATCCGTGATTTTTTCACGCGGAATTTTGGAGTAAAATTACGGCTGCTTGCGGATTACACTACGTCACACAATTTTTGTTCCTGGGTAGTAAGTGTTATTCGTAATTGCTTATGCCTTCAAAGTATAGAAAATGGCTATTATTCTCCATAAACTTTGCTTTTGTGACCAGGACAGTGATATTTTAAAATGTACCTATTTTCAATGAGAAAACGGGAGAATGTGTGTCTTTTCGTTCACATAAAGCCAGAAAAAAACAACATATGAATCAAAATGTACATGTATTTATGCTGAAGTAATACAAAAATGACTACAAAAGATTTAGAATTTAGTAGTTATTCGAGATGTAAGATTATACTGTAAATCACTTTCACGAATCAGCCCCCAAATGCAGTCTCCCATCATGTTCTCATTATACTGTCCTTGATAGCGGCGTTCAAAGTCCACTATATCCTGGTGGAAGCGCTCGCCTTGCTCCTCCGAGTACGCTCCCATGTTCTCCTTGAATTTATCAAGATGAGCGTCAAGGATATGGACTTTGAGGGACATCCTACAGCCCATTGTGCCGTAGTTTTTCACCAGAGTTTCAACCAGCTCCACATAGTTTTCGACCTTGTGATTGCCCAGGAAGCCACGAACCACTGCGACAAAGCTGTTCCAAGCCGCTTTCTCCTTACTAGTGAGCTTCTTGGGGAATTCATTGCACTCCAGGATCTTCTTCATCTGTGGTCTGACGAAGACACCGGCTTTGACCTTTGCCTCAGACAGCTTAGGGAAGAAGTCTTGAAGGTACTTGAAGGCTGCCGACTCCTTATCTACAGCTCTGACAAATTGTTTCATCATGCCCAATTTGATGTGCAGTGGTGGCTTCAGCACCTTCAGGGGGTCCACCAGTGGCTCCCACTTGACATTGTTCCTCCCCACAGAGAACTCGGTCCGCTGTGGCCAGTCCCGCCTGTGGTAGTGCACCTTGGTGTCGAAATCTTTTGTAGTAAATTTGTATTACTTTAGTATAAAAACATGTTAATTTTGATTCATATGTAGTTGTTTTCGGACTTTATGTGAGCGAAAAGACACGAATTCGCCCGTTTTCTCATAGAAAATAGATACATTTCAAAATATCAATGTTCTGGTTACAAAAGCAAAGTTTGTGTAGAATAATAGCTATTTTCTGTACTTTTGAGGCATAAGCAATTAGGAAATAACAATTACTACCTAGGAACCAAAGAAATTGTTACACAGTATTATAGGATCCATGGAAACCCATCCCCACATTACTGCTGATGTTTGGCCGCATCCAACAATATACAGCACTGGACATATATATCACACGATAACGCCATGATTTGAGTTGGACTACGTAGACAGAGTTGACCTGATCAGCCTCAATGATGGTCTCGTTGCCTTCACATATAACGTTCGAACTATATACCATACGAACTATATACTGTATTTACACACATAGAGGCAGAGATTAATGTTCCTGCTTTCTCCCTGATTTTAGAGGCAGAGAGACAAATATTGCGTCTGGTGGTCTATACTGATGTAGTATACTATAGTACATTTATAAAAATGTATAAATGTATTAATCTCAATTGGAGCCACCTTACATTGAGATGTAACTCTGTACTGCAACGATACAGAGGTGAATTTCGCCAAGACGCCCAAGCTTCTAGAGATAGTGTTACTGGACTATGCTACAGAGATGATGACGTCGACGATGTTGATGGAGATCACAATCACAACTGTATATAAGGTAACCACGATGTCAACCGTCCACTGCTGGATGAACGGCTCCGCACGCTGTGTTGGTGCACGAGGTGTTTGACCATGCTTCACCATGCACAGCGATGGAAGTGGAGCCGTCACACTCATCACACTGGTCAACACACTTTTTCTGGCATAAGGTATTCCAACGGTTGTAAGGTAATTTTTGGGGTGCTGATTCCAAATCTGGCATCAGTTTTTGTCTATCACATCAGGTTTTTGAGATATCAAATATTGCATTTTCAATAAAAACTGCAGAAGAAAAATATTAAATAAATGTGGATATCTACATAAAAAGACATTATAAACAGACTATCCTTAAAATACAGCACCATATTTTAACACTAAAGCAGTCACTGACTTGCAACAACTTGCAATCATAAGTGACAGAGTTAATTTCGGGTAAAATCAATGAAAATGGGGTAAGCAGATAGCATAAAAATGAGATGTGATAGAGCAAATCTGAGATCAGATTTGGAGTCAGCACCCTGAAATTAGTCTACAACAGCTGCAAAAGTCCAGGCCAGAAAAAAAATGTTTTTTTTGTTGACCAGTGTTATACACAAAGTTCGTGCCACAAATGCAGCACAATACTTTGCTGATCTCGTCCAAGAGCATGAACCATCACGCGAACTCCGGTCACCCTCGCAGCGGCTTTTGGCTGGCCATGGAACAAAAACGGTCACCGTACCGCGCGCTTTCAGATGCGCTTTTGCGGCCGTCTGGAACGCTCTTCCAATATTAGGAAGCCGCTGGGGCTGTTCGCTTTTAAATATAAATGTAAAACATATTTCATTAGAACTGCTTTTTGTGTTTAGTTTGTTGTCCTTCCCCGCACCTCCGATAAGCACGGTCGGCTACGTACGGTGCGAAAGAAGTTCAACATACATACATAACAACAGTGAGTGCGCTGGGCTATGAATAAGTACGAGCCCGGCCACCTGATGTGGATTCCCGGCCACGGCTCACATCAGTGGCACAGGTGATATGTGAACCAATTCTGGCAAGAAACCCGTCCCCAAGAAATAGCACGGCATGGAAAGCAGGCTTCATCCAGCAGTGGAATGACAAAGTTCCCGTGACATTTATATTTCAGAATTCATTGGTGCCATCAATCACACTTTAGACAACACAGCTAAGATGCCCACCTCGTCGATAGCCCCTTGCCTTATACCGAACCACAAGGACAAACCCAATACGCATGCAACGTGGGGCCAACATTGGCACGTGGTTAGAACTGGACCGACGCCAACGTTGACCCCAACGTTCCATGTTCAATGGGACGCTGTAGGAACCGCATGCACCTCTGCAACACGGAGGTCCATGTGGTGTTGGTGAGACCACGGGCTTGAGATTGGTGTTTATTTAGTCAGGATTCAAATATGTTTAGTCTTCGTCTAGTCTTTCGTCTTCTTTCATATGGATGGAATGTGTGTCGCAATCATTAATCGATATCTCGACAGAGTCTAGTTGACAAAAAAACCGTGGACGTTTTCGTCAAGTCGCATCGTCATTAGAAGCCGACTAAACACCGTTTCAGATGTACAAAGTGTCACCCAAGGCGTCCATCCCACTGGCGTGGCCCCTAGCCTTGCGATACACATCTCTATATCACGTGTAGGTATGTTGAACTTCTGTTGCACTGTACGAAGCCAGCCGTGCTAATCGGAGGATGTTGGGAAGGACAGCAAACTCAACACAAAAAAGGAGTTGTACGTTGTCAATCGAGATGATTTAAAGTGCATAGCTCCAGTGGTTTTCTAATATCGGAAGGAAGTGCGTTCCAGAGGGCCGCAGAAGCACATCTGAAAGCACACGATGCACTGACCGTCTTTGTTCGATGCTTAGCCAAAAGCCGCTGCGAGGATGACCGGAGTTTGCGTGATGGTTTATGCGTGTTGGTGTCTTCTGTATAGAAATGTGAACAAGGGGCAGCCCTGCAATTCCCTGCTCGCGCCACTGCTGGCGGAAGGGACCTCCAGTAGGGGGAGCTCTAGAGAGCTTGTCTAGAGGGTATTTGGCCTACTCTTCCACCTTTGCCAGACGTCCCAGAAGAAGTGATGTAAGGACATGCGTGTGATCACGATCTTCTGAGATCTGGGAAGCTAAGCAGGGTTTTGAGCCACCCTGAAAAACAGTCTACACACAAGAAGATTGTTCAATCTTACTGCTCATTCGCTTGCCTCGAGATATACTGTACTCTAAATAGACTGAAGATACGCAGTGCTGTATAGACATTAGGGTTCGGCTATCAAAAGAAGAGATTTTATTTCGAAATCTGTAAAACCAGTAGTTCATGATCCACAATGCATGTGAATATGAGACAGTCCTTATTTAAAGAGCCGCACTTGTAGGCTGGGGCCGCAGATTTCCGACCCCTGAATGATTTACTACTCATGCTGGCCTCTAGCCTTGCTAAATGCTGTGCTCTAAATCAAACTCAACTAAATCAGGTAGGAGCCACTGAGCTGTATAGTTCTTTTTCAGAAGCGACCTGGCCACAAATGATTGCTCAGCGAGGTCGCTTAGCATGTGGAGATGTATATCAGCCAAGCACTCTAAACGCGTGATGTTGATTCTAAACCGGAGGACTCGGAGAAAGATCCACCAGACCACGGGGAGAGAGAGAGAGAAACGCGAATTAAAAGAAATACATAATAATCCATAATAAGGTTTTTTGTTTGTCACATCGCGTAAATATAAATGTGTTGTTAAACCTGCATGCCACGAACCGACACAGCCAATTAGTAAGCTTTGTCACGTAAGCAAAACGTGCCGATTAGTTACTACTTCAGCACACCGGTGTGTTGGAGAGTAAACACACAACACTTACAATTCGAGTACGACGTTTCGCCGGTGACTACAGCCAGCTTCATCGGGTCGATTATCGAAACAAGCGAAGAAGTGTCAACTGCATGAACAAATACACGACAGGCGTCAGGGCTCAGGTAATCGAACCCCGGACCTCCCGTACACCGGGCGAGGTAGTTAACATCTCCACCCACCACCAGGTTGTGCCCCCCTGCCCTCCCCTTGCCTTGAGCAGACTCTCAAGGACGCGTGAGTCGTCCTTCGTCTCACGCCTGAAGCCATCGAAGTCGGAGCCGCTCCACGAACTCCTCCGCCGATCGTCGAGGTCCAGCCTGCGTCCGCTGAGGTCGAACTCGACGAGGCACTTGTCGATGCCCTCCTCGTCGTCGTAGACGCCGTCCGGCACGAAGTAGTAGTGCAGCGTGTTGTTGATCACCTCCGGGTAGATGTTGTCGAAGACGCCAGCCTCCACCGCGGTCAGAGACGACTCGAGGGCGCACAGGAGCAGAAGCGCACCGGTCACCGTGTACCTGCTCATTGTCGGCGTCTGACGCCGACACCGCCTTGCCGACGATGTCAGCTCCTGTCGCAGAGACGAGCGTTCGCGGATTTGCTCTCGGCTCTGACGGGTTTCCCACCGGCGTCAGAGTTGTTTCTGACCTTTCCTGACTTTCACCGCTGAGGATTTCACAAACGTCGCTGCGTAGACGCGACCGCGCGCACGCCTGATGTTTTTGTCACCTTGGTTCCAAGTGTGTCGGACTCCCTTGCTGCCCTTGCACCTCGTGATGGTGTGTATGGTAATGTAGGGAGGGCATCGGCTGTCGGTTTACGTGCGCTGCGCTATTTGCTTTGCAATCTGAAGCCTTTAGGAGACGCGTCGTTTGCGAAGTGTTTTTGTCTGCGTGTTGTCGAGCGCGCTACTGGGGTGGTCAATGTTCTGGTCCTTTTTTATCGTGGGGCCATTGGGATGTGTAAACGCCCACTCCCCACACACTCGCATCCGTAAATCATCCATCTGTTGCTGTAATTTCTACATTTATTATTATTTATTATTGCACTCTTCGCGCGTGAGCTCCACGCTTTTGCAAACGTTCATTTAGCAGCTGAGTGTGCCGCCACGTGGTCATTGCGCGCTACAACATGTTAGCTTCTTTGTTTAATTGGTGAATTACATTTATTAAAACAAACTCAACATGAACGTCAATATCACTGTGGCCTTAAAAGGAAAACAAATTAAAGGAAGGCGACGTTTCAGTCAATGGCCCTTCTTTATAGTGGACCTTCATGCCCAGTAAGAGCAGTTGTGTCAGCGATTTGCGGCCCACCCCAGAGCTCTGCTCACGGCGGCCCTGCCTGGCAGAGCGCTCTCTGGGCTGAGTGTTCCTTGTGACCTTGTCGCCGTAGCGGCTTGGACAAGTGCACCCAGCCTCGGCAACAAGCCTGGAAACAGGCTGGACCAGGGATCGGCAACCTTTCAAAGAAGAAGATAAAACATGTATTTTGACAAAAATAATTCGAGGGCAGCATCACACGCAAAGCTACTTCTACACAAACACAGCAGAAGATGGCAAAAACATTCTGACAAACAAAATCGGTGATGGGGTAAACTGCGTCTATTTAGTCCCCCCCCCCCACCTTAGATATTCTATAACACTACAGTTTGTACATTTTGTTGTCACCAAGACATCCCATACTGGTGACACATTCTCTGCGATATTTAATAAATTATCTTGACGTAAAACTACATTGAAGATTTACAAGAGGGAAGCCACAGAGCCGCAGGATTGCGGAGCCCTGGGCGAGATACACTTTGTGTTGAGGCCATGTGAAGTGACCATCGATTTAGAAAAAATAAGAAAACAGCACACCACTACCACCAGTATCGCTAGAACCATCGCTAGCAAGGGGCATGCTGTTCCAGGATCAATTATTAAGTACCCACGACGGCCTTCAAAGTCACCATTAATGAATCAATTAATTTATCTCCACTCAAATCATTGCCTTGCTCCAAAATGTGTCTTGTTCTTCAAAGGCACCATGACTCGCTCATTACTAGATTTATTCATAATCATAAAATATCTCCAGCCATATATATAAAACAAGAATTCGAGACGTACATTAAAACGTTCAAATGCAGGGGTGTGAAGATTGAGCCCCCTTCATATTACGAGTACAAATGGCGTGTCATTGCGTTCACATTTTGTTACATTTAAAATTAAGGAAGATATGAAACTCTTTGGTTCTTTCGGTAAAGTCACGTAGAAAGAAAATAAATTAAGTAATATAATACGACGTTTCAATTGCGACACAAGCAGTCGTCATCAGGTAGAACTAAATTTGAGAGAGAGACAAAACACAAACACGGAGACACACAGACAGACACACAAGCAGAGAGAGACAACACAGAAACACACAGAGAGAGACACACTTTCTGCTTGTGTGTCTGTCTGTGTGTCTCCGTGTCTGTGTTTTGTCTCTCTCTGTCAAATTTAGAAGTTCACTAGGTCTACCTTATGACGATTGCTTGTGTTGCAATCGAAACGTCCTATTATATTATTTCATTTATTTTCTTTCTACGTGACTTTACCGAAAGAACCAAGGAGTAATTCCTGCAGTCACGAAAGCTTCAAATCAAGATATGAAACGTTTACCCACAAGGCACACCACGTGAAGTGAAGAATTTATAAATTATGGCAAAGAATGAATGGGTGGACCGGGCAAGAGTAGTGGAAAACGCAAGGGACTCAAGGACGAAAGTCCAAGACAGATTCCGAGGGCACGTCTCACAAGACGGGCTGCGGGAATACGTGAGGAGCGCCGTGCAGGAAGGGGCGGAGGTGGTGAAGGAATGACTCGGCCAAGAAGTCGGTGATGAGAGGGTGATGAGAGGGAGGGAGGGAGGAGCAAGCAGATGTGAGCTGCAAGGAGCTTGTTTTCATTGGGGAAGGAGAGGGGAGGGATCGCTACATTGGCACTTGAATTACGGGAGGCTTGATCTGTTAGATACGATTAGAATGCAGAAAATTCGTCCGTTATGACAATAAAAGCAGCTCCATTTTGAGAGACGTCAGCAGTGGTTGTTTACCTTGCAAACACCAAAATCAATATGCGCTGATTGAAACGCACACACACATGGCAAGTGTGAATGCAATCCTCAGGTCGTGGTGGGCAACACGCGTGTAGAATGAAGATATTACCGAAATAAGCATCCAATTTCCAAAACTACATGCGATTATTATTATGCTATGGAGGGAACATGTGATGGATGCAGGATCGATATTCCCTTCATATCGGTGCAGATACGAATTTGAACGATTGACGAATACATCCCGCAGATAATAATAATTGTTTTTTATTCTGAATAGATGCATCATTAGATGTCTACCGTGTACTGTATATATGGAGCAGGATAGCATGCTCGGACATAAATGGATTAAATCTATTTCTGCAAAACTTTCAGTGTTATCCTGTAACGTGAACTGGTTTTCTCTGGTACTAAACTAAATTATTAAAACTAAGCGCAAGTTTCTAAATGTGGAGGGAACAAACGGAGAACGGAAGGAAAATCCACGCGCCCTTGGGGAGAACATGCAAACTTCAAATATACAGGCGTCAGGGTTGGGATTGATTTCCTGTATACCCACGACTACCTGTACACCAGGCAAGGCAGTTAACATATCGGCACTGCAGCACCCCACAAGCCAAACACTCAAATGGAATTGGTGCAACCTTACATTCCAGGGAACTGCAAAAAAAAGTAAAAAAAAATTATACCACTATCCTACTTATGTAATGGGAGGACAACATTTTTCATGATTGTGGCAACCGTTCCCTGCTCATGCAGCTTTGATTATCCTTTGAATTCCCTCCAGAATTTGTCGACTCTTCTTTTTACCATTCGTGAGTCTTTCTTTGCCACGCAAACCTTTTGTTTTATGAACCTATAAATAAGCTGGCAAACGCAGTCTCTTAAGTAAGGATCCATTTCGTCCGGGTATTTCGACTTGGCAAAGACAAACGCGTGCACGCAAACACTTAGACGTACATGCCTTGTGAAGCACGCGTGCTACTTGGGATGATGACGTGCATGTTTGACACTTGAACGGGAGTGAATTTAGCAGTTTGTATATAGTTTCGTCTTAAAACTTTCGTGACTGCAGGAATTTATGTTCTTGGTTCTTTCGGTAAAGTCACGTAGATAGAAAATAAATAAAACAAATGAAAATAATAAATTAAAATACATTTTATTTTTTAAATAAAAAGAATACATTTTAAATAATAAAAGCTTTTATTATTTTTACTTTAAAATGTTTATTATTATAATTTTTTATCTACGTGACTTTACCGAAAGAACCAAGAATATATATTTTAAATGACGAGAAGACAGACTGAGTGAATACATCGTGGGATGCGTTCCTGAAAGGCGCGACGGATATCGAAACGACTTGAATCAAAGCAGCTTACGCGGTAGGGGTGGAGGCCGCGGCCGAGGCGATGGATACGAGAAAGGACGGACGATGCTGGATTTTGAGACGATGGACTTCCAGTCGTGCAGTCTTGGAGGTTATGTCCAGTGCTCGTTGTGTGCTGTCGTCATCTGGAGATGATGCTCTTCGGGCAGATGTCTAGTTTTGGCATGAGTTGGTAATTTTTGATTGGTGCGGGCCAAAGGTCGAGTTTGAGGTTTACGTAAGCCATTGGTCATTTCGTGGGGAAAAAAATATTCCGAGTAATATATTAATTATTTGGTAAACGTGTAAAAATGATACTTAATTTGACGTGAATTATATAGAAAATATTATTTGAACTGCGATTTTTGGAAAACTTCACACCACCCAAGAGCTTCATTCAAATGTTTGGCTAATTCCAGGATATTCACGGGATGGAATACGGATTCCACCGTTTGCATTTCGCGAAGCTGCGGCGTCCACTCTCGGCACACCACATCGTGCCACACCGCGGCCTGCGTGATGGAGCGTCTTTGGCGTTGATCTCCCAGCTGCGGCAGCAGAGAGCGCGTGGCGGTGCAGGCTGCGTATGCACTCCGTACAACATAGGGCCTTTCTTGCCGATATCAGTACGTACACTCTGCCACCCTGTGGCGAAATATATCCACGCGTATTTACACCTTCTATGAGTCTCGTTTTAGTTCGTGGGGAGCGATGGTGCAGTGGGTAGCGTGCAGCGTTTTGAACCCGACGACCCTGGTTTCGATCCCCAATCACGGCAACACCAGTGACGCTTATCAAAACAGGTCATGGGCCTTCCCTATGTCGACTCATCCTCAAATGAGTATCTTGTGCGAAGTTTAAACATCGCGTGGTGCTGGCCACCCACCTCCTCGTGTGCCGTTCCGGCTAACAGGACTTACCCCGATAGTCTATTAAATGCTATACGGGGGATCTTTTTACTTCTTATATATGTACTGAAATGAGCCAACAGCCGTGGGTACATGTGCGTAATATCTACTTAACGTATATACACAAACACCCAAAGATACATTCAACACACATGCATCAATATTGCCTTAATTTTCATCATAATCATCATCGCCTTTTTATCATAACCAGAAACGCCATCATGTTATTTCATCTCTTTAATCCCTTAAATATCATTCACTGCACCCTGAAACGCATTGCAAAGGAATTTTGTGCATTATAATCACATCTGCATATTTAATATTCAATGCTGGGAAATGGACGATTAACTGAAACCCAAATTGTCGTTGATTTTATTTCTACTGGGCCGAAACGATCAATTCTCGCAGTAGTGTCTGCCCATTGTTCTGATGTGAAAATTATTTCTCATGAGCTGTTCCGCCATCAGTGTCGGACATTATACTGGTAGGAACCTCCTGGTTACACCAGCCCACAGGGGATTATTGTTTCCGTCCGTCGTGCAGGGAGTGGCTGGGTGGGGAGAGAGGGGCTGGGTGGGGAGGGGAGGGTGGGGAGGGGCTGGGTGGGGAGGGTGGGCCTGGGTGGGGAGGGGCTGGGTGGGGAAAGTG